AATTCCATTAAATGTAATTGTACTTATGTGACAAGGTTTCATGGGAAATATATTAAACAAAATTATTGTTATAACAAGTACTTTTCTCTCATTGGTACTTGATTCTGATGTATATTTGTCTCATCTTAATTGACAATAAGTGTAAAAATAATTGTTTTTGTGATTTGTTTTGTCTTTAAAATCTTCTGCTTATGACAATTTATTAGCAGTTCCAAACTAACTGTTCAAGTTTTCTTTCTCATATTTCACAATGAATGCATTAAATCTAAAAATTCAATAAAATAAAAATTATTAACCTCCATGATATTTTTTAATATTTGACATTAAATGTGATGGCAACAATGTGCATGCTGTCTGTCTGTCTGTTTGCTAGCAGTCCTCAGTTTTCAAGATATCATATTTAATAGGTTTGTAGCATGAACCTATTCGCTGGAACGTTAAGGACAATTTACTACACAGCAAAAGCAAGACACAAGTAGGCAAAGTTCTTTGTGTTACTCATGCATGAGGGAGACCAGACCGGAGCCAGATGTCGTTCCGCCCACTTGGCCTCCGTCGGACTCTCGGCCAGGTTCCCCATAGCACTCCTTTTATTGTGGTTACATGAATATGCATAGGTTCATTAACATATGATGTTTCATATATACATGTGGACAAAGAATACCTGTGTGTAAATGACTTCCCTAAACCTGCTGGTCTGGAAGTCCAGCAGTTCATCAAAGCAAAAGGCACTTAGCCTAAAACTGACATAGCTACGTTTATCCTACCATAAAACAATAAGAGAAGGTATGCCCTCTCCCATGCTCCCAGGATGTAGGTGTGAATGCCAGAACACTCTGGAATGCACACAAAGCCTTTGCAGACTTCTAAAGATTCCACATCCTATCACTACACAATCGATTATACACCTCTAAGCATATATGGTTAAATATTTCCTAATACAAATGACAATAATAAAGTCTAAACCCATCAATATTCAAAATGTGTTGTGTGATCTAGATGACAATAGCAACTGTAACTGATTTGAAGTTTGGTGAAAATCAAGTAAAGGTCACTCAAAATGTGAAAAATCATTAAAAACGTTATATTACCCACAAATATTTTATGGATTGGCTCGGGGGGACACGAGTACCTGAGCTGGCTAAGCATTTGACGTTGACCCTTATTGTTGGCACCCAAGGTCAAAGTTGATCTTGCAAAATATTTTAAAGAAAAATGTTTGAGTAATATATCATGTAAAGGGTCAAGAGGAACACTTGGTTTTTCAATGCAATGCTCTACAACATTACAATGATGTCATAATGTTTCACAAAATCACACACTGCTTGAGTACATTTTAAAATCTCAAATTTTTCAGCTTGTAGAAGCCAATGATTTCAGGCAATTCTGCTCCAAAGACATTAAAAATGCATTTCTCTACAGTGTTTTATGATGACTGTTATTAGTCCATTAGTGCTTTTGTTTCTGACTGAAATAAAGGACTGAATAAAAAAGTAATTGAAAGAAATCTGACCCTAAATGTCTGATCCTAATAAGTTCTAGTCTTGATTTCCTTTGGCTGTGTTTGTAAAAGGAGCAAATGCACTTGACGTGGGTGAGCAATTGCAGTTAGAGGAAAGGTCTGAGTACAAGTGAGTGACAGTGGTGTGAAGAGGGCATGCTCTTTGAGGAAATGGTTCAATTCTCAATGGTTGTTTTTTTTTTTTTTTTTTTTGATCCACCTCCACGGGACAAAATTCAGCAGTTCATCTGCACTAAAGGACAAAGGTCACTCTTTCAAGGATGCCAAT